GTTATTCATTGGAAACTTAAGTTCTAATACTTTGGCCACCTGATGCAGAGTTGACTCATTGGAAAAGACTCTGATGCTGGAAAAGATTTAAGACAAAAGAAGAAGGGGATGGCAGAGGATGAGATGGTTAGATAACATCACCAACTCAATGGGCCTGGATCTGAACAAACTCCAGGAGATAGTGAAGGATGGGGAGCCTGGCCTGCTGCAGTCCTTGGGGCCACAGAGTCAGATACAACTTAGCAACTAAACAATAAGAACTACAGAAAGTCTGAGACTTAGTACAACTCAGTAATAAAAGACAAATAACACAATTTAAAACGGCAGATTCTGAACAGACATTTCTCTAAGGAAGGTATGTAAATAGCCAGTAAACATATGAAAAGATGCTCAATGTCATTAGTCATAAGGGAAATACGAATCAAACTGCAATGAGAGGCCACCTTCACACCCACTAGCATGGCTAAAATCAAAAAGTCAGATAATATTAAAAACAAGTGCTGGTGAGGATATGGAGAAATTGGAACCCTTATTCACTGCTGTGTGTTTGTGTACTAAGTCGCTTCAGTTGTATCCGACCCTTTGTGACCCCAAGGACTGTAGCCCACCAGGCTCCTCTGTCCATGGGATTTCCCAGGTAAGAATACTGGAGTGGATTGCCATTTCCTTCTCCAGGGATCTTCCCAACCAGGGACTGAACCCATGTCTCTTACATCTCCTGCATTGACAGGTGGATTCTTTACCACTAGTGCCACCTGGGAAACCCAGAGTTACCATATGACCCTGTAATTCTACTCCTAGGTATATACCCAAAAGATGAAACACAAAAACTTGTATATGAACATTTTTATGGCAGCATTGTTCATAATAGCCAACAGGTAGAAATAACCCAAATGTCCATTGATAGATGAATAGATAAAACATATTATATCCATATAATAGAATGCTGTTTAGCCATAAAAAGTAATAAATTCTGATACATGCTACAACATGGATAAACTTGTAAAACATTATGTTAGATGAAAGAAGCCAGCCCCAGATCATGCAATTACATGGTTTGATTAATATGGAGTGTCTAGAATAGGAAAATCTAGAGAGACAGAAGGTAGTTAAGGGGTTGCTGAGGATTAGGTGTAGCGGTACTTGAGTTAGGGGTGATAGCTGAAGGGTACGGGGTTTCTTTCTGAGGTGTCAAAATGTTTTAAAGTGACTGATCATGGTTGCACGTCTGCAAATATACTAAAATGTAATGTACTTTAAATGGATGACTCGTATGCTAATGATTAGATCTCAATAAAACTGTTAAAAAAGGCTATGACTTACAAGTGCATCAGGTCTAGATGATTTAACGTTGATTTTAGTATTAATAAGGCATTACTAGCTTACCTTCCCTCCTTTAATCTTAGGGGCTTAACACAACTGAAGTTTGTCTTTTACTCACATAGAGACCAGGTGTTCCTGGTTGTTTGGCTGTTTCCCAATGGGAACTCAGGAATCCCTGTTTCTTCTATCCTGTGTCTCCACCATCTTTAATGGATAGCTGCAAAAGAAGACAGTGCAAGGAGGGTGGAAAATTGGAGGTTTTTCTGCCCCAGAACTGGAAGGGGCCTGCTTTTGCCCCATTCCATCAGCACAAATTTAGTCTCTTGGCACCCTAACAGTAAGAGTCTGAGAAATGTGGCCTAGTATAGGCCAGGTGGAAGAAATGTTGAGTTCTAACTAAATCTTTAAACACTGAACCCTTGTTACTCAGATTATTCCAGGTTATTTTATTTTATTATTATTATTTTTTTCATTTATTTTTATTAGTTGGAGGCTAATTACTTTACATCATTGCTGTGGTTTTTGTCATACATTGAAATGAATTAGCCATGGATTTACATGTATTCCCCATCCCGGTTCCAGGTTATTTTAAAAGATTGAAAATGCCTCCTATCCACTCTACAGGCAAGCATGATCTTAATAACAAAACTTGATGAATAGGAACCAAATAACTAGAGACCAATTGTAAGGCATAGTTCCGGCAAGGCAGAAAAGGAAAGACGACCTCAACAGAAGTAGGTTACCTCTACTCAGGCAAGGAGGGGCGAGAGTCGGCCTAACGACCAGGCTGAGCGCTGAGAGGAAACAGGGAGGCTTCATGCTTATAGGGAGGTTTGTGGAAGTGATAAGGCAAACGTTAATCAGGCGGGATATTTTGAGTATTCTTTTGTTGAGATGACATTTGTAGTTGGGCAGAAGGTGATAAGTCTTCTGGGCGGGTGTAGGGGGTGGTAGGTTTCTGGACAGGGGGTGATAAGTCCCAGATAGATGCAACCAGCCTGGAGCATCAGGGTGGAACTAAAGTTATACTTTGTTTTCTCCGAAGTTAGATGATTCAGCAAGGGGCCTTTGAGACTGTTGTTCTCTTTTCTAGGCCCCAAAGACTCCTTCACCAATCGCACTTAAGAATATAGATGCACGAATTCTGAGTATACAAAATTTAAAATTAGGAAATTTATCAAAAGTGAAGAATAATTTAAAAGACAAAGATCACAAAATTTGGTCAATAACAGCCAAAAATACTACTGATAAATTCCTACTATTGATAAATAGTGATCCCTAATAACAACTCTAACACAGGAATGCAAAGACTATCACTAAAGGCTTGGAGTGGAATGAAAATTGTTCAGGACAGGAAAAATATAGATGAAGTAAACACTTGATCCAAGTAAAAATGGGGTAAGTGAGACAGAACTGGGAAATCTCAGTAATCAACACACTGTATTTTTAACACTATATAAAAACAACAAAATAGAGATTTATGTAGTAATAAAAAACATTCTGAACCATGCCTTCCTCATAAGGTCCAGGAAAACTAAGTTTACATAAAAATAAACAATAAAAATACTGAGGTCAAATCTTGCTTGAATATAAGAAAAAAGAAAAGAGAACAAGGATCAGAATACTGTTGCTACCTCAACAAAAGCATAGCAGAAAGACAAACCTACACCAAAAAGTGTACAACTGTAGCCTGTTATCTCAAAGTGGTTAAAAAAATGCATTAAGAAATTGATATAAAACATGAAAGGTTAACTTAAATTAGTATTAAAAAAATCTGAAATGTGATGGCAGAACTCCAGGAAAGAATTAGAAATAAAAGGAAAAACATCACTTCATAAATTAAGAATAAAACAGAAGGAACAGAATGAATAAACACAACAGACAATGTATTAAGAGAAGCAAAAGTGACAGATATCAAAATGGAAAAAGAAGATCCAACATATTCCTGAAGAAGAAAACCAAAATAAGAGTACAGAATACTTAAAATTATTACTTAAGAAAACATTCTTGAAATAAAGATTAGAAGCTATGTGGGAAGAAAAGAGCACACTATACATCTGAGGGTATCAACCGAGAATGAACTGTACCAAAATATACTATAAGAAAATTACTGGACTTTCTTGTTGCTATTGTTCCATTGCTGAGTCGTGTCTGACTCTTTTCAACCCCATGGACTACAGTACACTAGGCTTCCCTGTCCTTCACCATCTCATGAACATTCAGTCCGTAACAAGAATGACTGGAAAGAGTCTGACAAGGGGCTTGACAGGGTTGGTGATGGCTGGATGTGGGCAGGAGGAGGAGGTGGGGGGGGGGCGCGAGGATGACTCCCATGACCCCGGCTTTCCTGAGGGGGTGAGTAGTGGCCCTTCTGATAGGCAGAGGGCTAAGAGAGGAGCAGAAGGCCTGTTTCGGAGTTGGAGAGTGGTTTTGGCCCCAGGCTGTGCAGACAGACTGGCTGGGTGTGAATCCCGACTCCCTCACTCGCCACCTGTGGTGACCTTGGGCAGGTCCCGTAACTCGTCTCTGCCCGGGGGAAGTGACACTACCTCAGTCACAGGAGTGGGAGATTCCATGGAGGCAAGTGCCCACGCAGAGGGCCAGGACAGCGGGGCCCACAGGAAGCACTCAGCCGTGTCAAGTGTCGTCATCTTTATGGCGATGCAGATGATGCCACTAAAGAGGCTCCACGGGCAGCTGGCAGGAAAGGGGCTCCACTTCCGGAGGGAATGGTCAGCCTGAGAGTTAAAGCCTCAGCAACAGATGAACCCGCCAGGAGGAGTGTGCCAGTGAGAGGGAAAGAGAAATGAGCCATGGTGAGGCTCTTGAGGCCAACTAGCCTGAGGAAGCAGAAGAAAAAGGAAGAAGGAGAGATTCCCAGTGAAGGGAGTGAGTAACAGCATCCAGTATTTTTTTCACTTTGCCCATATGGTCCCCGGAAGTACTCACCCAGATATCTGAGTACATTGTGATCCATTTCCCCATCTCATCTTTCTAGCTAGAGAACTCTGAGGATAAGCAGTTCGTGCTTGTCCACGGTTCCAGATGATGTTGGGTAGCTCCAGGTCTCCACCATGGTTTCCGGTTTGATTGACTCTACCACTTACAGTGATCTCCTCGGGAAAGCCAAAGTATCCATCCTGGTGTGTCAGCATCTGCCCTTCGCAGTCTCTCTCAGTCGGTTTTGCCTGCTTGCTTGCTTAGTCGCTCAGTCATGTCCAACTCTTTGTGACCCTGTGGACCATAGCCTGCCAGGGTCCTCTGTCCATGTGATTCTCCAGGCAAGAATACTGGAATGGGTTGCCATTTCCTCCTCCAGGGAGTCTTCCCAACCCAGGGTCTGCTTTATAAGGGCCCTAAATACCTTGGCCACCTCATGCGAAGAGTTGGCTCATTGGAAAAAACCCTGATGCTGGGAGGGATTGGAGGCAGGAGGAGAAGGGGATGACAGAGGATGAGATGGCTGGATGGCATCACCGACTCGATGGACTTGAGTTTGAGTAAACGCCGGGAGCTGGTGATGGACAGGGAGGCCTGGCATGCTGCAGTTCTTGGGGTCCAAATAGTCGGACACGACTGAGCGACTGAACTGAAAGCCTTAGAACTTGTATTATTAGAACTTCCCTCCGCCACCTTAAAATATGGGGAGTACTCTTAAAATCACATTCCGCCAGTGCCTACTTGTGGGATGGGTGGTGGTGATCTTGGAGCCTCAGAATCCAGTCCCCCAGCCCTGGCCCTGTCAAGGCCACTTCCGAGCTAGGCGTGATGGTGGGGCAGAGGCGAAGGAGTGCATTGTCAGGGAACCGCAGCTGCCCGGCTGGAGGCTGGGAGGCCTGAATAGCTTCACAGCTCTGGGCCAGCTCGCTGAATGGGAGCGTGCCCCTCCCTGGCGGTGGCCCAGAATAGATGATATTTTCATTGCAAACTAACAAGGGGAGAAATCCAATTACCTTACAAAGGAGCTCCCAAGGGGCCTCACAGCTTAGAGAAAAAGGGAGGAGAAGGGAAGGGAGAGGGTGTGTGTGTGTGTGTGGTGTGTGTGTGTGTGTGTGTGTGTGTGTGTGTGTGTGTAGGCTCCCACCCAAGCCAGGAGAAACAAAGCCCTAGCGGGCATGGGAGATAGGCTTGAAGGCTGGAGAGGTGGAACTGGGGGTTTTAATTCATTCCATTAGGCCAGAGGGTAGGCCAGGGAAGCTCCAGGTCCCTGGAAGCTCTGAGCAGACAAACCTCCTTCCTTGGCGACACATGGGTGGTGCAACTCCCCCCAGGCAAGCCCCAGCCTCTCTGAACCCCTCTCAGACTGGGATTTCCCAGACCTGAATCATCAGGAATTCATGCACACATTGCCACATCCTGCTAAACTATTAATCTTTTATCTTTAAATTTATATAGAGTGTATTATTTAAGCTTAGATTTAAAAAGAAAAGTTTCTATCCTAAATGCAAATATGAAAAGTAGAAGATAATTCTAAAATGAAAGATGATTCAATAACCAATGTTTTAAACCTCAACTAGGTATTGGGGTGACTGAGGGCTTTGGGACTGGAAGCCGAGATAATCGAGGAGTGGGTGGGGTGGGAGTGGAAAGGGGTGGGATGTTAGCAAGTGTTTGCAACAAACACTGATTTCTCCTAGGTCTAACCCAGGAGGATTAAGAGAACTGAAAAGGAACACTTCTCCTCTAGGCCCTCCCAGCCCTGGTCCCAGAGTGGCGGGCGTGGCAACACCAGTCTGGGTGCCCTTAACCTTGGTTGCCCAACTGCTTAGTGGGGATTAGGGGCAACGTGGTGGTCTACTGTACTACTGGACAGACCTGCTTTCTGTGCTTTGTGGGGTGGCCACTGGGGTCCCTGAAAGTGTGAGTGGCCTAGGGGAGGGGGAAGATGATGGTGGTCCCAAGGCAACAAGAAAGTCCACTCTCCTGCTTTCCTCTTTGGACTTGGCAGGAAGGGCCACAGATCCCCTTTGGGAGGAAATTATCATTTGCTTCCTCCAGCCCAGCCAGAGCAAATCAGCCTTGAAAGGCTGGCCTGCCTCGAGGCCACACAGCTTGCCCCTTGTGGCTCCTTCCTGGCGCCACTCTCACTACCCTAGTGAATTGAACTCTCTGGTCCAGATGCCTGAAAATTAGCTTTCTGAGGCTCAGGGACCTGGGCTGGGCGGTGGGGGGCGGGGGTACTTGGGATTATAGAGACCCCTTTGCCACAGACATCACCTGTTTCCAAACCACAGACATCACCTGTTTCTTCTGTCAAATGGAGGCTTTTAGGGGGAGCTTTGGTCCCAGGGGAGCTTGGGCCCAAGGGTGGGACAACACCAGCTCCCATCCCTCACTCTCACAGCCACCCCAAAGCTTGGGGAAAGGAAAGCAAACTGAGAAAGTGGCACTGCTCTCTAGGGGCCGGCTCAGATTAAGCCCCGCCACTCACCACTGACCCGGCAGGGACCACTGTGGGCTTTGGGGGCTTCCTGCTCCCTCCTGCTCCTTGGGCCACCCCTGCTTTCAGGACGCTGCAGGAGAGGAGGTTAGCAAGGGAATGCAAGTCTGAGTCAAGTCTTCAAAGGATTCTCCAGTCAATGAGATACTTGGAGAGGGAGGCAGAGTGGGAGGTTCAAGAAGTGGGTAATCTGCACAGGCTGAAGCAGTCAAAGAAGCTTAGAGAAGGAAAAGAGAATAATCAAAACTGATAAAGCACTTCCTAATCGGTTACTCTGCATGGTGTCAGGCATTTCAATACTCTAGGAGATGTTGAGGCTAGTGGCTGACTTAAGAGCACCATTTAGAAAATAGAAGAGTTCACTCTGTATTTCCTTGCCATATACCCATTTCTAGTCCCTATTTTTCATCTCCTATGGCATTTGACTGTGTTGAAAGCCCTTTTATATTTAGACTTCTTTGCTTTTGGGACTCCACTCTTTTCCTACTTCTCTGAGCATTCTGTGTGCATCTTCCAATGAGTCCAACCTGGGTCTCTGCTGCCAGGGTTTTGTGGGTGGGTGTATGTGGGGTGTGTGTGTGTGGGTGTGTGTGTGGGTATGGATGTGTGTGTGTTTATATTTAGAAAATACATGTTCTCTAGATGACTATAGTACTGTAATTTTGCAGGGTTTGTCCCATCTGGCTGTACCTGGAGTTCATTCCTTAACCTTCTCATCTATAACCAGCCTTATTGTTTTGATCTTATCTCTCTCCTGAGGACTCCCAAATTTATTTCCATCACTGGTAAATCCCACAACCTATAAGATACATCCACCTGGACATCTCAACTCAAAAACACAGGAGACCCTCAACTGAACTCGTGTTTCCTCCAAACTTTCTTCTTACCATGAAATCTTCCGTCCCAGGCTCCCAAAGTGGAAGTTCCTGGGTCCTCACTGATTCACTTCCCTCTTGATACCTCGCACCCTCCTTTGTGACCAGAACCTCTCCCACACCCCATTGTCATCCTGCTCAGTGACCAAGGTAGTTCCACCTCTTAAATTCCTCTTGTGTCGGCACCTTCCTCACTCCCTAGGTCTCTAGCAGCTCATACTGACTACTGAAGAAGACTTGTAACAAGTGGCATAGTTCAGTCTTTCTCCATCAAAGAGAATCCCTTAGCATAGAAATCTCCTTTTTCTTTAGCATAGAAAAATCCCAGGTAAGGGATTCCCGGGCCCCTCCCTCACCAAGATGCTTATTATTACTCTTCTGAATTCACTTGTCTGTGTATCCTAATCCTTCTGTAAGCACATATCTATACACTCCTGTCTTTTCCCTATTCATTTGTTTATCCAACAAATATTTGTTTATTTTAGAAACTGTTATTTTTAATCAATCTTAGTTGTATTTTCTCTTTAAGAGGCTGGGAAAGTATAGCTTAAGACCACTCACTGGTAGTTCCTACCCATTCAGTGGCCTGAGCAGTGGGAGCTGCAAACCCATTTTGAGCACAGGCTGAGGGCTCTATCTTCCACTGGAAGCTGAATAGTCATGGCAAGGCCCTGTGCCTTCAGACCCACCTGCGACTTCAGAATGGGCTTTGGTAAAGAATCCGCCTGCAATGCGGGAGACCTGGGTTTGATCCCTGGGTTGGGAAGATCCTCTGGAGGAGAGCATGGCAACCCACTCCAGTGTTCTTGCCTGGAGAATCCCCATGGACACAGAAGCCTGGCAGGCTACAGTCCATGGGGTCGCAGAGTTGGACATGACTGAGTGACTAAGCACACACAACAGTAAGTCCAGGAGCTAGAGCAGTCCATTCACCCTGAAATCCCTCCTCGTCACACAGCCTGCTCTTCCTCTCCCATCTGTTCAGGACCTCTGTGGAAGGAAGAGATTGTGCACAGCCTCCCATGGGCATGCAGATGGTGCCAGGCATCTGCAGAACTTCCTGGGCCTGTATCCACCACATCAGACCCTCTGGGGGAACTCCCTTGCTGGTGCAGGTGATGGCAGTGTCCTCATGGCACAGGGGAGTGTCTTCATTACACCGGGTAACAGTGGGCAGGTGACTGTAAGATGCCTCTGTGAGAGGCTGGCAGTCAGCCTAGGGATCAATAACCACTGAAAGTCACAGCTCCCAGAAAGATACCTGGTTCTGAATAGTGAAGGTTCCAGGAGTGAAGCAGCCAGCAATAGGCGTGGCCCCAGTGGCAGCAGCAAACCTCAGTACAGCCCGGTGGCCGGTATCCCTGGGGAGTGTGACGCTGATGTCAGCCATCAGTTTTCCATGGCAACAATGGCATGAGCCACCAGCAGAAGCTTCTCCCAGGTCCTTTCCAGGATTATGATGTCATGCTACCACTCTTCCCTCTGTAGAGGTTCTGTTTCATTTGGAAGTCACAGTTCATACCACCTAGGGCTCCAGACATTGTGAAAGTTGCTCTTTAAGTTATGTGGGGAACCCAGAACCATATTGTATGAACTCCTGTATAGTTAGTGTAGTAAGACCAGCAACCATTTATTTGGTGTCAGCTCTGAGTCAGACCATGAGCTCACAGTGGGGGAAGATAAGGATGAAGCAGATCCTGGTCCTGGCTTCATGGAGTAAGGAATCTAGTCTTCATGCCATTGCACATGTTATTCTGGCATGCAGATATAGGTCTTTGCACTGGAAAATGCCTACTCATAATTAGGAGATCTTACGCTTCCTTCCCACTCTCTGATGGATCATCCTATGCCCCCTTGGAGTGTATGCAGTGCACTTTGAAGACACCTGGACCAAGACCTAGCAATAGAAGGTAAATAGGTAGATTTTGTTGTTGTTGTTGAAAGTGACAGAAAACCCACTCACACCAGTAAAAAAGGGTGACTGGTTTATATGACTGGTTCATATAAACAGAAAGTGCAGAGGTGGAGCCAGCCTCTCGGACTGCAGAGATGTCACTTACATTTCGAGGACTCCCTCTGCTCCTGTCCTCAGGCCTTCTTCCCTGATCTTCTTTACTCTTAGACTGAGGAGAGGAGTGGGATGTGGCTGCAGAAAACTGAAGGCTTACCACTATTCAGACAGTGACGCCTCTAGAAAAAAGCTTTTTACTCCTAGCATCCATGTAAATATCTTAAAGATAGGTGTTATTGGTCCAACTTGGATCAAGTCCACATCCCTGAATAAATAACCAAGGTAGAAGGATACAGAGGTCTGACTGGCTTGGCAGAGATCACATACCCCTCACTGTCTCCTGCAGAGCAGGGCAACATGCATGATTGGCAGCCCAAGCAGAACCACATGGAATTCTCCAAAGGAAGGTGGGTACTGTGACCAGGAGAAGGAGGGAAATGATGTGGGACAGATAAAAATTTTAAATGCTGCTACAGATAGTGAGGGGGCAGAATGAGATCCCTGCTCCACGATGCTCTCCATTGTACCACACAGCCTGGTAGCTAGATAATCAAATAGAACACCCTTTAGCCCAATATGAGCCTAAAATGGTCCAGGTCCTC